TCCCTAATGGCAGTCACCACCTGAGCAGAGCCTGTACCTGCAGCCCCTTACACATTTCACTGTCAGCAGCTAGAAAAGTGTGTTTGGCTCCTGTCAATAATAGCCTTGCACGCTCAAAAAAATTGTTCAAGAAACAGTAGAAAATAAGCATCAATTACACTACTGTGACTTCTTTCTCCCAGCCATCGTTACAAATTCTGACAAGTCAGCCAAGCAACCAAAACTCTTGATACATTTTTCCATAAAGCAAACAAAAAAAAAGCCCCAAACAAAGCAAATCTAAAAGCACCTTCTCATCTGCTTTGCTTATATCCCAGGGGCTGCTCGAACAGCCAGCTCTGCAGCCTGCTCAGGAAATGAGCGTTTAGGCAACACAGGTTTTCCCAGAGGCAAGATTTTTTTAAAGGAAAATAAAGCCCTTGGAGAATGCTTCCTTTAAGCAGCCTTCTCTTGTTTCACACTGACTGGTTCGAGCATAAAGCCTCTGCTGATCACAGATGAGTCAGGAAGGCTGAGGAGAAGCAATTCTCCAAGCAGGCAGGTTTCAACCTTGTGTTTTCTCCCAGTCAAACTCTGCTGCCAGGTAACCTTACCAGGCATCTTCCATTGATTCTTCTGCTGAACAGAAAGGAACTGACACTGTGGGCATGAAATGATAAATTAGAAATAGGTGGTGAAACTGTCATTCATGAATTGTGGGCCATTATCTCGTAACCTATGTGGAATCCCAGAGTGAACAACAACTCACAAAGGACCATTACATTCCTGTGCAACAGCTCAGGAAGGAGTGAGCAGTGGTCTGTGAACCAACAGCAACACTTCCCATTCAGCTGGAACAGATCTACGCCACATCCAGATGAAGGACAAGCAGACCCATCACTGGATCTCCTGGTATCAGTCCTTTTCTTGTTTATTGTCTTTCCCTGACTACTGCCCACTATTTTTGAACATCCATCTTCAAAAATGACTTCTATTCCTATTTGGGCAGGTTGGTTTCCCTTTGTACAGCTCTACCTAATGAAGACAATCAATGTAAAGTACCCTTAGCATTTCTGATCTGTAGCTATCATTAGCATTTCCTCTCTTCCAAACTCTCTGAACACATCAGTTAGTAACTATATGCTGCAATGTACTGTATGTTGTTATATGCCATTATTATATAAGTTATGCAGTAACTTGGGGAATAAAGTCTTTCTATTTAGAGGAAAGTGAGCTATTGCTGTTGACATTCATCTCCAGAACCTGCTTCAAACACTTACAAAGAAGAATCATCTTATTATTATTATATATTATTATTGTTGTAGTGTATTTATAAAACACCAAACACTTAATTTGTGATTGGCTTGAAGATCCTCTGATTTTTCTTTCAGTCTTTATCAAAAGTCCTAAATCACATCTCATCTCAGTTAAGCCTCATCACAATTCTGATTTTGAACTTGTGATCATACAGAGCACTTACTTCATATTCCTACTGCTCAGTTCATGCTACTTGGCCTTATCATTTCTCACAACTGAAAGAACACCCAATTCCACCAGTTAGCTCACATATCAGTTTCTTTTAACATCTTTGCAAAGTCACATTCCATTATATATACACAGGAAAGTCATCTTGAAATTTTGGCATCACTTTGTCTGGCAATCTACCATCACCTTTAGACCTATTGCACTGCAGTACAGATGCTGATACTTCATTAATATAGGTTACTTTATAGCTAGATCTGTTGCCATGCTACTTGTTCTCACTCAATTTGTACACTCAATTTTGATGGGAAAAGAGTGTGATACACAGGTAGGTTCATCAGCAGCCCTTTGTCCTAATTAATAAGGAGACTCTTAGGCATTTAATTCAAAGTGTGTGAGCACTTCCACAGCCTTCAGGGACAAAGAGGCAATGTCCATTTTCCACATGACATGATAACATGCAGGTTACACTGATGCTAGTGGCTACTGTCATGCATATCATGCTTATCCTTGGATTAGACTTCAATGGGCTTTTTGATCAAAAGAGACAAACTTTGCTAGGAATTTGGTAAGTTACAGTACATGCCAATTTTGAAACGTGCAGTTATAGTTTGATACAAGACTGATTGACTGCTCTACACAGCACAGGCAATGACAGATATTCTTAACCTTGTCCAGGGTGCTTCTTTATAGACTCTGCTTTCATTTTGACCACACTTTCCATTTCAAAGTCTGCTTTAGGCTGACAAAATTCAGAAAGTTCCAGCTGAACCCAGAGCTAAACTGGATGCTAGAATGAACTGCAAATCCCACTGACATTCCCTTTGTGCATTCTGAATGCCTAAGAACAATGAATACTTACAAGTATGTAAGAATTAGACTTGAGGTGTTTTAGCCTCCAAGAATAGTGGACACTTGTGGACACTCCCACCATGACATGGGAGAAAAAATAACTGGTATTAACACTTGTGAAAAGGCAGATACTACAGAGAGAAGGGTCATAGAAAACCTTATACAGTTAGTACTATACCTTCAGGGAAAGTTTTGCGTCACATGCCATGAAAAATAAGGCTTTGTGTTGAACAATGAGCATAAAATGGAATACTGAACAACTGCTCACTCCAAGAACATAGAATAAACCAGGCTGGAAAAGACCTCAAAGATCACCAAGTCCAACCCTACCGTGGTCACTAGACCATGGCACTAAGTGCCACATCCAGTCCCATCTTGAAAACCTCCAGGGACAGTGAATCCACCACCTCCCTGGGCAGCACATTCCAAAGTCTGATCACTCTCTCTGTAAAAAATCTCTTCCTACTATCCAACCTAACCCTCCCCTGGCAGAGCTTGAGTCTGTGCCCTCTTGTCCTGCTGCTGGTTGCCTGGGAGAAGAGACCACCCCCCACCTGACTCCAACCTCCTGTCAAGGAGTTGCAGAGGGTGATAAGGTCTCCCCTGAGCCTCCTCTTCCCCAGCTCCCACCCCATGAAACATGATAGAGGAGTCATGCAGAAAGAATAGTTTTCAATCCTGTAACTAAAACCCTTCTTGCAAAGCATATGTAAAATGGCCCAAGCAGCCTTAATTTTATGATTCCTTAACTTCTGACTGCTTGGCCTTTATATGTTTATTCACGGTGAAAATCTTTTCTTCCTGTATTTAGTAGCAGATACTACACAGGGAGAACTTCCTTCATCACCCAGGCAAAGGGCATGTGACAAAAGGCCTATATAGTATTCTCCAAGCTCATTTGTATGGGGCTGGAATTCCTGCAAGCCTGGGCTACCATTTTTCCCACTTTATGTTCACAAACTCCCTCCTCGACATGCAGCAGCGTCTGTTTGTGGTGGTGAGGGACAGATGCTCAATCTCAACAAAGATCAATGTGGCTCCAGGGAGCACTGCAGCATCTTTTCTCTGATATTAGACTTCACTATCCTGAGGCTGTTCCTATGTGGCAGCTTATCAGGTTGCCAGTCCGTCTTTAAGATAGCTCTCTTTATCTTCTATTTTGAAATAACAATGTATATTTAAAAGACTTACCTGTCCAATAATGAGAGGGACTACAACAGTCATAAACAGCTGCGAGAATATAGATGTGAAAGGCACAGAGGAGGACGATCCAAGCTACGGAAGAAAAATATACCATTAATGCTGCACTTTTTCTTAGTCTCTGCAAATTTTGTACACAGATATCACACATTTTATTTTACACATAAAAGCTTGCAAGTATGTTGGAACTTGGAAGTAGGTGCATACATGTTTAGTTGTTAAGTCACAGTAAAGCATTTGGTATCCCACAACAACAAAACTAAACGAATCTCTGATTATTTTACAACGCTAGGTTCCATTGATACTCTTTTAATTGAAAACCTGCTCCATATGCCAAGTAAATTATAGAAGCATTTGTAGGATGATAGTCTAAAAAACAGGGAGTGAATCTTCCTAACAAGACAGTTAGCTCAACTTACTTTACCATCAACACAAACATCAAGCAACAAAAATTGATGCATTTATTTCAATCAATAAATGAAAATAATAAAACAGTGAAGACATTTATGTGTTTTATTCCAATGTTGTTAAAAAAGAGATCTACTATAACTATTCTTTCATTAAGACCACTGAACTGTGACAGACTTAGTCTTCAAATAGGTAATCTCTTTAATTATGGCTGTAAATGCTAAAGAATTTTTTTTAAGATGCAGGTAGAAAACATGAACACACAGTGGGATTTTTGCAACATACTTCAGAATATTTAGGCAAATACACAGTATTTTTTTGCATTCTGATGGGACTTGTTTTAGGCTAAGTCATTGAAAAGCTTCGCTTAATGTAATTTAACATCTCTTTATCAGCAATAGAATATGCATTAAGAAACGTATACTAAGAAGACTGAACAATTAAGAGCTTCCAATTACAACCATTTGCTTCATGATGAGGCAAATGACACAACATTGAGCATTCCAGAGTCCACATTATTTTATGTCTTGCACTTTACTTTAAAGACCCTCAAAACAATGAGAGAATTCAGAATCTTTTCAGCTCCACCTAAACGATGCTGATCACCTAAAACATTCCCACAAACTGCACTCAGATTGGATTATACTTTTGACACTTATCTTCCTTTCAAAGCTACCTGCAGGCATGACAGACAAGGTGATCATACAATCTAGTAACTGTCTGTAACTCTGCCTTGAAAAATCATCATATAGGCATAAAATGGGTTTGGCATAAAACAAGATTCTTCATAAATGCAAAGGACAGAAAAATCAGAAATTTCATATATGGTTTATGCAGAAATGTACAGTTGCAATCTTGGCCTACAGAAAGTAATCTGATGAGAAAACACCGATTATACAGATCAATTTTGGGAAATTGGTGAACACATCTACAGGGCTGTCTATAAGCAAGTGGAGCTTTTGGTGCAAGCAAAGGACACCAAAACAGAGAAACAGCACTGAATGACACTAAGAAGGAAACTATGGGAACTTTGAGTGTTCAAAATTGAACTTTTGAGTGTTGCTTGGCCAGCTCAAGAGTTCAAGACAGTAGGATCAGACCATATTTATTCTTTCTTTAAACATACTCTACCACTTGCTTTCATATGTCCCTTTCTGAATACACTCTGCATAGAGAGTCTTGGGAGGAATGTACAGGATGTGGCTGTTTCCTATGTGCTACCTTAACTAGCAACATGAGGTAAGACTCAGTCTGGGTGTTCAATAAACTACAGCATTTCATCACCATCAAGTATGAGCTTTTCTTCTCATACTTTGTGTCAAAGAATGTGTTTCTGTGTTGAGAAGTCTTTTATTAACATATGTGAGGGGCAGATGGAAGCAAAGGTTTTATTCCTGATAGAGGAGGACCTTCATCAGGAACTGAGTGACAGGACAAGGGGAAATGGGTTCATACCGAAAGAAGGGATATTTAAGTGAGATATATGGAAGAAATTCTTTACTGTGAGGGTGTGAGACATTGGAACAGGTTGCCCAGAGAAGCTGTGGATGCCCCTTTCCCTGGAAGTGTTGGATGGGGTGTTGAGGAATCTGGTGTCCCTGCCTATGGCAGGGGGCTGGAACTAGATGATCTCTAAGGTCCCTTCCAACCCAAACCATTCCCTGATTCTGTGATCTCCAGTTTTAACAATGTTGGCACAGAAGATGGTTGGAGGGGACCTGAAGATGATGTCATAACTGAGAATTTTAGTGTGCAAGTAAGGTGCAAGTGAGGGCACTGAGATTAAGGAGCCTGAATTTCCCATGGAGTCAAGAGGGAGAAGTAAGATCTTGCAGGGGAAAATTCCCATCACCCACATGAGTACCCAAAGTCAGGCAGTGCAGCTACAGCCCCAAGGGACACTAGGGTCTCTGCAGGATTCCTTGCAGAAAGCACAGGACTCCATCATACCACTCATGATCTCCTTGTGTTAATCCTTGTAAGGAGCTTCTGAAATTTTAAAAGGTTGATAGTATTTGGACTTATTTTTGATTATGCGCTGAAGAGCTAAAAGCATTACTGACTCTGTATTCAAAGAGACCTTTTCAAGTGAAAGTGAAGATTTTTAAACTTTAAAGCCTGCCTGGGCCACAGAGGAGTGTATCTAACCAAGCAGTCCACATGCCACGACACTCTGCATAGCTTCAGAAAACTATGACACTTTGGCAGTGGCTCCTGTGCGTTTTTATAAAAGCATTGATTGGACTTTGCTCATGACTTTAAAGTTTTATGCTCAGTGTATGCATAATCAGTTTCCAAGTCAGGAAAGGCAAACTGTTCAACAACATAACACACTGCTGAGAAAGGCATAGCCTTGCCAGCTTTTTAAAATGTGTCTTCAAATGTAGTGTCTTCAAACTGGTGTGGATTTTGAAGCACTTGGTGTATATCTAAGGATATGTTCCGATTTGGGTGGTTTTTATACCATTAGAACCTGAATTACAGGTACTGTGCTAGGATACTAAACCAATTTACCTAGGAAAAGTAAAATTATTTTATTCATAAAACCACTTTTCTGTATGAGGATATCGGCCTATGGCTGCTTCTTCACCTTGCCAAGTCCACCCCACCCATTCAGGCTCATCTCTCTGTGTCATCTGGACCACAAAAAGGCAGACACTTAAGGTAACTCACCCTGGCTACATTTTAAATGAAACAGAAATCCACATATCAGTTCAAAATGTCATAATTAATAACTAAAAAATAAATGATTCATTAACCCTCCATTTGCCCAGAGGAAAGCTTCTTCACCTTGCCAAGTCCACCCCACCCATTCAGGCTCATCTCTCTGTGTCATCTGGACCACAAAAAGGCAGACACTTAAGGTAACTCACCCTGGCTACATTTTAAATGAAACAGAAATCCACATATCAGTTCAAAATGTCATAATTAATAACTAAAAAATAAATGATTCATTAACCCTCCATTTGCCCAGAGGAAATCT